GAAATCATGCCCCTGAAGAATTCAAGCCCCTGAAGAAATCAAGACCCTGAAGAATTCACGTCCCTGAAGATTTCAAGTCCCTGAAGAATTCAAGCTCCTGAAAAGTTCAAGTCCCTTATGAATTCAAGCTCCTGAAGAATTCACGTCCCTGAAGATTTCAAGTCCCTGAAGAATTCAAGCTCCTGAAAAGTTCAAGTCCCTTGAGAATTCAAGCCCCTGAAGAAATCAAGACCCTGAAGAATTCACGTCCCTGAAGAATTCAAGCTCCTGAAAAGTTCAAGTCCCTGGAGAATTCAAGCTCCTGAAAAGTTCAAGTCCCTGGAGAATTCAAGCCCCTGAAGAATTCAAGCCCCTGAAGAAATCAAAACCCTGAAGAATTCACGTCCCTGAATATTTCAAGTCCCTGAAGAATCCATGCTCCTGAAAAGTTCAAGTCCCTGAAGAATTCAAGCTCCTGAAAAGTTCAAGTCCATGAAGAATTCAAGCCCCTGGAGAATCCAAGCCCCTGAAGAATTCAAGAGCCTGAAGAATTCAAGTCCCTGGAGAATTCAAGCCCCTGAAGAATTCAAACCCCTGAAGAAATCAAGACCCTGAAGAATTCACGTCCCTTAAGAATTCAAGCTCCTGAAAAGCTCAAGTCCCTGGAGAATTCAAGCTCCTGAAAAGCTCAAGTCCCTGGAGAATTCAAGCCCCTGAAGAATTCAAGCCCCTGAAGAAATCAAGACCCTGAAGAATTCACGTCCCTGAAGATTTCAAGTCCATGAAGAAATCAAGACCCTGAAGAATTCACGTCCCTGAAGATTTCAAGTCCCTGAAGAATTCAAGTCCATGAAGAATTCAAGCTCCTGAAAAGTTCAAGTCCCTAATGAATTCAAGCCCCTGAAGAAATCATGCCCCTGAAGAATTCAAGCCCCTGAAGAAATCAAGACCCTGAAGAATTCACGTCCCTGAAGATTTCAAGTCCCTGAAGAATTCAAGCTCCTGAAAAGTTCAAGTCCCTTATGAATTCAAGCTCCTGAAGAATTCACGTCCCTGAAGATTTCAAGTCCCTGATGAATTCAAGCTCCTGAAAAGTTCAAGTCCCTTGAGAATTCAAGCCCCTGAAGAATTCACGTCCCTGAAGATTTCAAGTCCCTGGAGAATTCAAGCCCCTGAAGAAATCAAGACCCTGAAAAGTTCAAGTCCCTGAAGAATTCAAGCTCCTGAAAAGTTCAAGTCCCTTATGAATTCAAGCCCCTGAAGAATTCACGTCCCTGAAGATTTCAAGTCCCTGAAGAATTCAAGCTCCTGAAAAGTTCAAGTCCCTGGAGAATTAAAGCCCCTGAAGAATTCACGTCCCTGAAGATTTCAAGTATCTGGAGAATTCAAGCCCCTGAAGAAATCAAGACCCTGAAAAGTTCAAGTCCCTGAAGAATTCAAGCTCCTGAAAAGTTCAAGTCCCTGGAGAATTCAAGCCCCTGAAGAATTCACGTCCCTGAAGATTTCAAGTCCCTGAAGAATTCAAGCTCCTGAAAAGTTCAAGTCCCTGAAGAATTCAAGCTCCTGAAGAATTCAAGTCCCTGGAGAATTCAAGCCCCTGGAGAATTCATGCCCCTGAAGAGTTCAAGTACCTGAAGAATTCAAGTCCATGAAGAATTCAAGCCCCTGTAGAATCCAAGCCCCTGAAGAATTCAAGAACCTGAAGAATTCAAGTCCCTTAAGAATTCAAGCCCCTGAAAAATTCAAGCCCCTGACAATGAGCGAGCTTCTTGAAGAGAACGTGCCTGGGAGATCTCTCAGATCAAGCTGCCAGTCCCTACTCTCTGTGCCTAGTGTTAGAACGGCGACTTTTGGAGGTCGGAGTTTCGCCAAAGTTGCCCCTGAGCTATGGAATAGGCTGCCATTGGATATCAGGAACATTGACAGTCCTACTTTGCTCCGATCAAGACTCAAAACCTATCTTTTCATCAAATCTTTCTTGGAGTATTGAGGCTTTGTGTTTTCCTAGCTGTGTAATGTCTCTTTTTTGTGTAGACTCAAATGAAGCGCTCTTGAGCAGTTCTTCGAATTGAATACCAGCGCTATATAAATCTGTAGTTATTATTATTATTATTATTAATGAGTGTATCTGTGATTCTGGTTTAACACAACACTCAGCAATAATCACGCCATACGACAGTGACCTGTATCTAACCACCAGATCAAATTAAACATGCCTCGTATGACATGGATGGTTGGTTGGGGACCTAGCCTAACCTGGAATCCCCGCGGAAGATCACAACACGCACAAATCTTCCTCAACGGACATGTACACCTGAACATGGTGATAGAAATCAATCCCCTAACAGTTACCACAACTAAAACTGTATGGTGAAAAACAAATACGAAGTTTTGCTTACATATTATCTTCAAAGACAGCAAGTAAATGTATTGTCACACTCCGGCGTACTCTCAAGCACCCATTCAGTCAGCAATCAGCCAGAATATGAAGTGAAGGGCATTTCACGTCACTAGTTAATGCTTCGGCATGAACTCAGGAAGTAAGACTGCGACAGTTTCAATTACCGGAAACACTGTAACCTCACTATGACAAAACAGATCACACGATATATGACCAGTGAAATGTATTTGAGCTGACTACTTTGTGTTATATCGTTCTGTATCCTGCTACGGGCAAGTCGACGGAGCTAGGAACTAAATAAGTCGAATTCTGTCTGTACCTTCTTGGGGTTCAGGGTCAGAATAGACCTTGATGGGATTCTGGGACAGAATAGACCTTGATGGGATTCTGGGTCAGAATAGGCCTTGGTGGGATTCTGTGTCAAAATAGGTCTTGATGGGCTCTTGGCTCAGAATAGGCCTTGATGGGATCCTGGGTCAGAATAAGCCTTGATAGGATTCTGAGTCAAAATAGGTCTTGATGAGATTTTTGCTCGGAATAGGCCTTGATGGGATTCTGAGTCGGAATAGGCCTTGGTGGGATGATTCTGAGTCAAAATAGGCCTTGATGGGATTCTGAGTCAGAATAGCCCTTGATGGGATCGTTGGTTAGAATAGGCCTTGATGAGATCCTTGGTCAGAATATGCCTTGATAGGATCAAGGGTCAGAATAAGGTCTTGGTGGGATCCTGTATCAGAATAGCCCTTAATGGGATCCTGGGTCAGAATAGGCCTTGATGGGATCCTGAATCAGAATAGCCCTTAATGGGATTCTGGGTCAAAATAGGCCTTGATGGGATCCTGAGCCAGAATAGGCCTTGATGGGATTCTTAGTAAAAACTGGCTTTGATGGGATTCTGAGTCAAAATAGGCCTTGATTAGATCCTGGGTCAGAATATACCTCGATGGGATCCTGAGTCAGAATAGGCCTTGATAGGATTCTGGGTCAAAATAGGTCTTGATGGGATTCTGGCTCGGAATAGGCCTTGATAGGATTCTGAGTCAGAATAGGCTTTGACGGGATGATTCTGAGTCAAAATAGGCCTTGATGGGGTCCTGGGTCAGAATTGGCCTTGATGGCATTATGAGTCAAAAATAGGCCTTGGTGGGATTCTGGGTCAGAATAGGCCTTGATGGCATTCTGACTCAGAATATGCATTGGTGGTATTCTGAGTCAGAATAGGCCTTAATTGGATCCTGTGTAAGAATATGTCTTGATGGGATCCTGGGTCAGAATAGGCTTTGATGGTATTCAGGGTCAGAATAGGCCTTGATGTTATCCTGGACAGATTAGGCCTTGATTGGATCCTTGGTCAGAACAGGCCTTAATGGGATCCTGGGTCAGGATAGGCCTTGATGGCATTCTGAGTCAAAATAGTCCGTGATGGGATTCTGTGTCAGAATAGGCCTTGATGGGATCCTGGGTCAGAATAGGCCTTGATGGGATCCTGGGTCAGAATAGGCCTTGATGGGATTCTGAGTCAGAATAGGCCTTGATGGGATCCTGGGTCAGAATAGACGCTCCAACAGTTATCACAGGAGTAAGACAAGGCCATCATAAACCACAGACGTTCCAACAGTTATCACAGGAGAAGGACAAGGCCATCATTAACCACAGACGTTCCAACAGTTATCACAGGAGTAGGACAAGGCCATCATTAACCACAGACGTTCCAACAGTTATCACAGGAGAAGGACAAGGCATCATGGACCACAGACGCTCCAACAGTTTCCACGGGAGTACAAGGCCATCAAGAACCACAGACGCTACAACAGTTATCACAGGAGTAGGACAAGGCCATCATGGACCACATACGCTCCAACAGTTTCCACGGGAGTACAAGGCCATCAAGAACCACATACGCTACAACAGTTATCACAGGAGTAGGACAAGGCCTTCAAGAACCACAGACGCTCCAACAGTTATCACAGGAGTACAAGGCCATCATGAACCATAGACGCTCCAACAGTTATCACAGGAGTACAAGGCCATCATGAACCACACTTTTCACACGCACTACAGTCCGACCGTGTGATCACTTCTCTCGCTAAATTCATAGGCAGGAGTACTTGACGAGGCAGTACTTGATGGTCCTTGACGGTAATGGTAGACACGGGAGATATTAAGTTCTCATTACGTTGACCTTTGTGATTTGCCTTGTATTGTCTTCATATTGGACACTTGATGTTCTGTTTGCAGTATATTATCACCCACCAAGTGTGCAGATGTGCTGTGAATATGTCTTACTTCCGACACAAACATTCTGACTATGCGTTTTCTTTATTATATAATTAGGAGACTCAGTATATTCTAATCGGATTTGTTCCATAATGACATTCACGGTTAGGTTAGGAAGATCTGTTGATAAATTTAACATCTCTCCTCATGCAGTCCGATGCTTGACGCGTATTATTTGTATACAAATCAGTGACTTTCAATGTTTGAGAGGGCCGCCTCACAACATTCTTATCAAACTGTCTAAAGTGATTAGTTTAATAAGGGTCTAATATGAATATGAGACTGCCCTGGGGAGCCCCCAAGTCTCAGCGACCAGATCAAAGTGTAAACATGCTACTTGAGGCAAAAGCATGACCAATTAAATGACGGCTTATGCGGTTCAAATACAGGTATAAGCCCCGCAAGTCTTTACTTTACTTTAGGTCTTCTAGCCTTTGGGTATCGCTCGATGACGTCCTTTTAGCAGTGCACTTCAATGTTCCGGCGCAGTATCACAGATCCTGTAATAAGACTGCCCAGTTTGAAAATAGCCAACTGTATGACAAGGCAAGAACCACAGACACTCCAACAGTTTCCACGGGAGTACGACAAGGCCATCACGAACCACAGACGCTCCAACAGTTGGCACATGAGTACAAGGCCACCATAAACCAGAGACGCTCCAACAGTTATCACAGGAGTACAAGGCCATCAAGGACCACAGACGCTCCAACAGTTGGCACATGAGTACAAGGCCATCATAAACCAGAGACGCTCCAACAGTTATCACAGGAGTACAAGGCCATCAAGGGCCACATACGTTACAACAGTTATCACAGGAGTACAAGGCCATGAAGAACCACAGACGCTACAACAGTTATCACAGGAGTACAAGGCCATGAAGAACCACAGACGCTACAACAGTTATCACAGGAGTACAAGGCCATGAAGAACCACAGACGCTACAACAGTTATCACATATTGATGTCTTTAAATTACGCTTCGGTTTGGGGGAAGAAACAGATGCAGTAGATTTGTTTGTTTGTTTGTTGTTTAACGCCACAGTCAGCAATATTCCAGCTATATGACGGCGGTCTGTAAATAATCGAGTCTGGACCAGACGATCCAATGATTGACATCATGAGCATCGATCCACGCAATTGCGATACGATGACCTGCATCAACACGATCCCGTTAGTCACCTTGTACGACAAGCATTGGTTTCTGAAGTCCTATTCTACCCCGGATCTTCACGTCAGATACAGCAGAAAGAGTAACAATAGTTTCATCTGGGTAAAACAAACCCTCACGATTGTGTGGTGTCATGAGAGCGGAACAATGGATTTCTGAGATAATGTTTAATATTGTGTCACATCAAGTGAGCAAATCTTGAGAGTCAGACTGAGCCATATCATGGCGAGTCTGTAAAAGACCCGTGACTGATATAATGAGCAACAGATATACTCCGCCGGAGTACGATCACACAAACTACAAGTCACCGAGCCTGACCTACCGATCTAATTTGCGGCTTCTTACGACAAGCACAAATTGCTTGGGGATAATAGGGAAGAGCGGTTAGATATCAAATCAGTATTTTAATGGATTCAAACCACCGACGAAACGAGGAACTATGTCATATCAGTGTCTTTTAACTAGTTTTGTTTTTCGCGCTGACAAACCAAGAATCGGGGATTCGAACCCAGGTCTAAATGAGGAACGATGCCAGTTGCTAAGAATGGACTTCTTCTGTTATGAGGTTTGAACAGCAACTTTTCGAAATCATGAACGAGTGATTCCGGGCTTTATGACGCTTGAAAGTCTTAATGTAAATTTAATGTAACCTTAATGTAAACTTGATGTAAACTTGATGTAAACTTGATGTAAACTTTATGTAAACTTTATGTAAACTTGATATGAACTTAATGTAGGAGGAAACCCGGAAGTAAGGCACAACTGTAGGTCGCCCACGCTGACCTGGTTGCTTAAATAACTGAGTAAGTGCATGGTACTGACAAGCAAACTATCATACACAGTTTCAAACCACCAACTGGGATACCATGACATGCATCAACCAAGTCAGCGAGCCTGACCACCCGATCCCGTTAGTCGCCTCTTACGACAAGCACAGTCGCCTTTTACGGCAAGCATGGGTTGCTGAAGACCTATTCTACCCCGAATCTTCCCATCTAATGGGGATGCTTTAAGTTTTTGTCTGACGTTCATATAGTTTGCCCCTCACTCCTCGAAGGTAAAAACTCCAATCAACTCACACGAAGAGGAAGTAAGCGACGACTTTCATACACTGTTTGGCCCCCATTCGTATAAGGTTCATACTTCAATGAACTCACACAAAGAGGAAGTCGCGCTTTGAATAACCTTTTTTTTATTTTACTACAGGGCGACAATGCGACAACACCTCAATTTTCGAGGTCTCGTTGTCGCACTGTCACCCCATAATACATGTGTGAAAAAGGGGTTAAGCTCAGTTATTGCCACAGTTAGGGGGCCGTGACCAACTTAGTAGTAGTTCTACCTGATACGTCTTGAATTGAAAACTCAAGTCCGTCCGCGGGTCCGTAGCGTTTTATTGTGATGTCTTCTCTGTGCTTGATGCTCATGCAACTCACAGTTCCAAACCGTCCCGCTCGCGCTAGTTTACATGCATATATAGCTTCTAAAAGTGTCATATTCTTAAAAAGGTAATTAAACCAGACCATGTAGTACCTCATCCATAATCCACAAGCCACTAGTGCAGCGGTCGCCCGGAAGATCTTACACTTGACCCTAAAGACAACGGACCTGACCTCGAGGCCCCCATGTGGTACAATGTACGTGTTTGCCTGAGTGAGGAGGGAAGGAAATGC